GGCTTTATGGAATGGATTAATGAGGATAACCTCAAAGAATTTGTACGTGGAATCTTCACCAACCCAGTAAGAATTCAGGACTCTCAGAGCTCCACAGTGGCGCCCAGCTCGTTCCTCGGCAACAGACTGAAGGCTTCGTGCAAACTTGAGCTGGTTAACGCCATGATGGACAGGCTTGCCGTAGGTTGCACCCTTGGGAACCGGGCGCTTGCGGCCACCACGGCGCACACGAATCCTATAGATGACATAACCTTGTTTGGCCTTGTAGCCCAGCCTGTGCGCCTTGTCGGGCCGCGTGGGGCGCGGCGCCCTGTGCAGCGCCGAGAGCTGGCGGTACTGCCAGCAGCGGACCCGCAGGAGAAAGCGCATCATGTCCGACTGCTTCTTTCTCCACAGCTCCTGGATGTACTTGTACGCGCCCATCCTGGCTTACCTGATGGCTGCCGGCAGACCATATTGTTGAGTTTTAAAAGTTCTTTATGCATTGTGCTTTCAATCCTTAAAGATATACATTTTGCAAATATTATCTTCCAGCATATGATGTATCTTCCATTGTTTGAACAGGGTCTTTTGAACAGAAGGCATTTTTAATTTACCGCAGTCCACATTATTTTTTTTTTTATGGTTCAGCATTTATTGTTGTAGGTAAAGCTAATCACTAAACTGAATTCTTAGTAATTTTCTCCTATGGTTTCTATTGGAATTCATTTATTTTTTCATTGAACATAAAATTTTTTTTAAAAAGATTTATTTTGTTTAGTTGAAAGAGTTACAGAGAGAGGTAGAAACAGAGAGAGAGGTCTTCCATCCACTGGTTCACTCCTCAGATTGCTGCATTGTTGGAGCTGTGATGATCCAAAGCCAGGAGCCAGGAACTTCTTCCTGGTCTCCCACGTGGGTGCAGGGGCCCAAGGACTTGGGCCATCTTCTACTGCTTTCCCAGGCCATAGCAGAGATTGGATTGGAAGTGGAGCAGCCGGGTCTTGAACCAGCGCCCATATGGGATGCCGGCACTGCAGGCAGCGGCTTTATCCACTACACCACAGTCTAGCCCCGACAACTACACATCTTTAGGATGGTATAATAAACAGATAAACATGGCAGTGTCAAAAATTGGCAAGGATACAGAATAGCCAAAAATCTCATTCACTATTGGTCAGAGTGCATAGTGGTACTTACAAGGCATGTGGAGATGTTATTGCGAACACTACAACAGTATCACCATAAAATGCAGAAAAGATGTCTATATCTATTTACATAGCTGATGTGAAAACATATACCTACACACCATTCAGCATGAAGATATATATGTGCAGCAATTTTATTCATAATGGCTTTCACTTGTTTGAAACCAAGATGTCCTTGGTGAACAGAAAACCAAACTGTCACAAAGTGGGGACGCTTAGGCTCAACAGGGATAACACATAAGCCCCTTAGGGTGTAGACTGTGGACATCAGGATACAAGAGAAAAGGGAGGGGCTGGATCATACAGTTTCCAGAGACAAAGGAAGACACTGCCTATAGGTAAATGGCTTAGAGGCACCTGAAGGAAGCCACAGCTTTAGGCAAAGGGCACAGTGGCACTCAAAGGCTTCCAAAAGCTAGAAACCGGTTATTAAGTTAATCCAGGGTAGGACCAAAGTCACTCTGTAAACAGAAGGATTGGTAACACAGAAGTCCTGACATATACTGTATGGACCAGGGAGGCAGACACTCAGCAAAGATCACGGCTACATGCAGAGGGTCTGGAGATACATGAGGATTGGCATGGGATGTAGGCACCTGAGAAAGAGGCAATTTATTTGTTATTTATTTATTTATTTATTTTTTTTGACAGGCAGAGTGGACAGTGGGAGAGACAGAGAGAAAGGTCTTCCTTTGCCGTTGGTTCACCCTCCCAATGGCCACTGCAGCCGGCGCGCTGCGGCCGGCGCACCACACTGATCTGATGGCAGGAGCCAGGTACTTATCCTGGTCTCCCATGGGGTGCAGGGCCCAAGCACTTGGGCCATCCTCCACTGTACTCCCTGGCCACATCAGAGAGCTGGCCTGGAAGAGGGGCAACCGGGACAGAATCCGGCGCCCCGACCAGGACTAGAACCCGGTGTGCCGGCGCCGCAAGGCGGAGGATTAGCCTAGTGAGCCGAGGCGCTGGCCGAAAAAGGCCCTTTAGGAAAGAAGTGCTGCAGATAAAATGGATGGAGACTCATGCAGCTGGTACAAGCTGCTGGAACAAGGAATAGTGGCTTTTAAGTGTTAGCCTGATGAAAAAGACTTTTAACATGAAAATCATACAAACATGGGTCCCAGTCTCATGAGACGTTGAAACTACAGATAACATGAGTTCCAAGAACAAGATTAGAAATACGCAAAGCCACGCATAGCTACTGGAATGTGGGACTGTGGACACTGGGAATCAGACAAGGCCTGCAGGTACAGGATTTGGAAATAGGAGATGTTATATAAATCAATTCTTAGAGGAAATTCATAGTCTTAAGGGAATATGTTAGAAGACTGAAAAACAATCATTCTGGCTCCCTCCTTAAGAACGAAAATGTGCTATCCAGTAAAACATTCAATAATGGCAAGGAAAAATAGAGACAGGCATTAAGAAAATATCTGTCGTAAGGTTGTAGTAGTAAAATCTTCAACAGAAATAAATAAGGAAAAAAGTTATTTAAAAATTTAATAAAAAAATAAAAAAATCCTTTAAAGAAAAATGTAACACCAATTACCATTTCAGAAGTCAAAAATAATTACTTTTTCACAGATAGTAAGATTTTCTGGGGCCGGTGCTATAGTGTGGCACGTTAATGCCCTGGCCTGAAGTGTCGGCATCCCATATGGGCACTGGTTTGAGACTTGGCTGCTCCACTTCCGATACAGCTCTCTGCTATGGCCTGGGAAACCAGTAGAAGATGGCCCAAGTCCTTGGGCCCCTGCACCCACGTGGGAGACCTGGAAGAAGCTCCTGGCTCTTGGCTTCAAATCGGTGCTGCTCCAGCCATTGTGGCCAGTTGGGAAGTGAACCATTGGATGGAAGACCTCTCTCTCTGTCTCTCTCTCTCTCCCCTTCTCCTCGCTCTGTGTAACTCTGACTTTCAAATAAATAATCTTTTTTTTTTAAATAAGATTTTCTGAAATACCTAAGGGTAAGATTTCAAAAAAAGAGACCAAAAGCCACCAAATTTTGGAAATCCATTTTTGAAACCCACATACTGCATGATAGGAAACTTCTATATGAACTAAATAAGCTGAATCAATGTTTTTTTAAAAGATAATTCACTGTATACATTTTATTTATAGTTTTGTATACTGTCTTAACATGAATGGAACGACTTTTATACTTGAGCCATTTTTTTCCTAGCAAAATAATCTAAGTACTACAAAGTGTTAAAATACAGCATAAAGATATAAAAACAGACATACTAATTCTAGTTAGGAATGTAATTATGATGCTACTTTTTAAATAATCCACAGTTATGTTCAGGAAATCATATATAGATCATTGATTTGAATGAAATTCATAAATTTATAGCAAAGCTTTATAGTTACAAAAGCCAAAAAAAACAGAAATAACACACAAAATTAATGTTTAATCCGCCTTTGTGTCATATTCCTGAATCCTTCACTAATGTTACATGAGGAAAAAACAAAAGCAAAACAAATGAAAAGCTGAAATCAGAATCACTAATGTTATCAAATAGGAAGCAAATAAATTAAAATCTAGCAGCCATCAGCAAAAGTACAGCAAAGATGATGCTGTAAAAAGAAACAAGAAAAACTGCTAGAAAACTGTGTACATCATACTACTTCAAACCAGAAAAATATGCTCCCTCATATAATGGAACATAAACATTTTTTCTATAAGGTATAGAAATGCAAGCTCTTTTTTTGAATATTGTGGATGGGTAAAATGTGTTTGTATAATTCTACTAAACCATTATAAAGTGTGCAAATAATAAGTCAATGTTTGCATTAAAATAAGAAATAAGCAGTGAAATTCCACAAGCAAAATTTCAGGTCCAGACTTATAGAACCTTCCAAACTTTCGGGAAAAAAAATCTTTCTCAATTCCCCAGATTTACTCACAGTGACAATAAGCAGGAAATATGTTGACTTTAATTTCTGAATTCAGCATTCCATAGATGACATGGTCAGATCAGGACATGGAATACAAAGGAACATAAAAAAATCTCTTTTTATATAGACACAAATATTTTAAGCAAAATAGTTTTGTTTAGCCATATATATATAATCTACATATACAACAAGCAGCATATACTAAAAGATGCAAAAATTACTTAAATCATGTAAATCATTCATGTGGGTGAAAACCACAAGAAAATCACATGATAATGTTTGATTAAGTGTTACAATACATTTAATAAAATTCGGCATTTAGCATCAATTTAGTTTTTTTGCAGAATAATAAAAAAGAGAAATTTCATTATTATGATTAAAGTCACCTGCAATAAACTCATAACAGCATAATAAACACAGAACATTTAAATACATATTTCCCTGGGAATAGACCTGGACAAGGTTCCCTCTTCTCACTCTCTCTTCAAAATCGTTCTGGAGGTGTAGTCAGGAAAACTAAACAGGAAATAGGTAATATCAGGGAGAAGGCTCAATTTTTAAGCCAGAAAACTGTCGATATATGTGGATGACACTGTCATATGTGATTGTATATAAACATAAAAACAAATACAGACTCACAGGAGGATTAAGCAAGATTACTGGGTACAAGAGCAATCTATATAATTAAGGGTGTTAGTGTGTAGTACCAAGAAATGGAATAATTTTAAAGCATAAAATATCAACTAAGAAATGAATATCAATGAGAGAAATGAGACAAAGAAACGTTAATGAACTCCTGAAATCAGTATTAAAAAAACTCAGATAACCCAAGAGAAAAATAATCCACGCGGGTAAAGAAAAGGCGTGGACTCCAGGAAACTCTGGGACACTCTAACTCGGGTGCGTGTGCTGGAATGAGAGGGCCTTGCCAAGACAGCCACTGGCAAGCAAGTCAGTTACTCAGAATGGCTTCCGAAACCCCCTGGGAAACCACCAGGCAACGGAGCCTCAGGAATGGCTTCGGAAACCACCTGGCAAGGGAGCCTGCCTGGCAACAGGCGGTGATTGGTTACGGCGTAAACCGCCCCTTGACTGGATTGGCTGCCTCGGCTCTAGTAGCTGTTGTACCAACTGAAATAAAGGAGTCTGTGGGCTGCTCGTCTCTGGCGCGCTTTCACCGGACTCCCGGGGTCTATGTGGTGACTCCGTGCCTCTTGCCCCCACCGTGCTCCTCCTTTAAGAACGAAACCACAGCAACAGGTGAGGACGTGATCCCAGCAGGATGAGTGGCAGGGAAGCAGGACGTCATCAGAGAGGGTCCTCACCCGGGGTGGGGGGTGGGGGGTCCCAGGAAGATGACGCAGCTGCAGCGCTGAGCCCCAGCCCAGCCCTCCTCCCGGCCGTTCTGATTGGCTGAGTCTCCGCCACCTCGCGTGCTCACTGGCTGTGTGCAGGCTCCTGGCAACTCCGCGCCAACGGCTCTTCTCTCCGTGGCAGCCATTCTCTGCTTCCCACCCTCTACCCGGGAGCGGCCCGGGAGCCTCAGTCCTTGCTGCTCTGTGGACTTCCCTCTCTTCACGATCCTCAGGAGGACGCCCGCAGGCCTCAGAAACGGAGAATGGTGAGTGTGGGCCCTGTGCCTGAGGCCGCCAGGGTGTGGGCGGGGCCGGCGGCGGGACGCTGGCGTCTTGTCCGGTTCCTGCCGCAGCGACCTGGGCTCCGTCCCCGAGCCTCGGGTCTTCCCGAATTGTGCGGTGAGCCCGGGAAGGCCCTCAGCCAGATTCTGGGGTTGCTGTGTGGGATTCATGCGGGGAGAAGGTGGGAGCGGTGGAGGCCTCCGTCCCACCTCTCCCAGGAGTGACGCGATCCCCGGGTTGGGAAACAGGATCTGATGTCTGCAACACAGTACTCTCAGAGTGCTCTCCCTAGGGTCTTTCTGTCTTTATTACAAATGTAACAGACTGGGTGAGACATACAAAAATCGGTGTGATTTGGCTCAATATTTTTGTCCCAGGTGAGGCAGCATCTGGTGATGGCTTTCTTGTTGGCAGAGGCCCAGGATGGCTCAGAGATCACGTGGCCAAAGACAGGGAGTGCTGGAGACTGATGCAGAGTGGGTTCTACACAGACCCCCTGGAGATTACCACATTAATCCTATGAATGGACTAATATGGACGATTCCTTGCAAAATCTCACTTCTTAATTTAATTGGCATTAAATATCCCCATGAGTTTCAGAGGGGGATAGACCATGTAATAAAGCACGGTAAGTCTGGAAAAAGCTCTCTCAATGTTCAGATCTCCTCCCCCATTGCCGAATACCACTGCCCCCTGAAGTTCATAACACCATCAGCTGTTTGCTCCGTGACACATTTTTTTTAGTTGGTTAAAATGCTGTTTTTAAAACAATATTGTCTTTTTTTTCCACAGAAAAATCAGTAACCCTTCAAAGTGTTTCTCTATGAACATTTCACATAAGAGAAACAAAGAATGCCTACCTGACACTCCAGTGTAAACAATCTTTGTTCCAAACTGGGTGTTTGCAGCAGTGACTAAATTGCTACCTGGGACTCCCATATCCCTATCAGAATTTCCTGATTTGATTCCCTGTGCTTCCAATCCAATTTGTAGCTAATGCACACTTTAAGAGGAAGCAGAGTATGGCTCAAGTACTTGGGTCCCAACCACCCACGTGAGAGAAAGAGATTAATTCCAGCCTCCTGGCTTCAGCCTTGTCCAGCCCTGGGTGTTGCAGGCTTGTGGGAGTGAGCCATTGGATGGAAGATCTCTCTCTATAACTCTACATTTTAAATAAATAGAACTAGATTAACTTTTAAAAATCTTTATACATCTTTCATGTGTGTAAAGTGTAGATATCTTGAGATTTCCCCTTGGAAACTCCCTTTTCTCTTTCCTTGTCTTGTGTTGTGGATGATGACTAAAGATGGCCCAGTGGGCAGGTACCTAGCAGTGTGACGTGTCAGCCCCTGATTCTTCCTAAAAGAAGCAGTAGGAAGGGGAGCATTCAAGGGCCCTCAGCCCAAGTGGCCTGGGGATCTGGTTAACCTGAGTGTGGGGTCCCTTGTGAGCTGTGGGGTAGGGAGGCTCTTTCCCAGAGCTGGTTCTCCTTCACGACCTTTGTGGAAACTTGCTGCCTTTTATGTACACTTTGTCCACTTAGGTAGAAAGTATGTGCCATGACTTGAGTGTTGGATTTTTATTTTGTTATATTGAACCTCTGTTTATTAAATAATATCTGAAAAAAGAAATTGAATTCTTTACATATGAATGCAAACATCCACAGTGATTACTCAGGTGAAGAAGGAGTGGGCCTTGGTCAGTTCCGATGTCTTCCTAATCTATTCTTCCTCTGTCCACGGAGGTGACCAAGTCCTGATTCTTTTTGGTATTTATTTCTTAAAACTTCTATATCCCCCCACAGAGTTTTGCAAATTCAGAATGTTCAAGAGATTGCTATTGGGTATTGTATTATGCTTAAATCATTTTTTCCATCCTTTTCCCTGGTCTTGTATATACATGCTTCTATCTGAGGCTGTGATTCAGCTAATATACTCACTGCTTCTACCACTTATGGGACTTTTCTTCATGTTTATTTTTTGATGTTGGAGATACTATGCTTCTTGGTTTTTCTTCCTCATGTGCTAATTCAGAGTAGATTTTTTGCATAATGAGAAAATATGGTTAAGTTGTAGGGTTGTGGATAAATTCAAATTTATCAGAAAGTGTTGGCACAGCAGATGAATTAACTGTGTACCATTTATTCATGTGTATTTATTTATTTTGTGATTTACCAACACTTGGAATGGCCTTGTTTATTTTTCCCAGGTAGCATTCATATGATTATATATTGTTAACTACTAATTACCATTGTTTGAGTATTTTTCTCTTGTATTTATTTTTACTGATTACCACTGGTAGATCTGTACTTTTCCTTATGGTTCTATATATTTTTTTTCCTTACATAGGAAATGTTTAGGAATACTGGTAGGAAGCATTGTTTTCTTGGAGAACAGCCTGCAGCCTTACTATATAACCTTTGTTACTTCAATCCTGATTAATCTGAAATGAATATTACTTTTCCAGGCTTCACAGGATTGATGTTATAATGGACTATTTTTCTGCATAGTCTATCTATGTTTGTCTTTTAAATATATAAATATATATCTGTATCTTACATTGACAGAAATTGAATGTATTTAACTCATAAAATGGTTTTTGGAAATATTTATATAGTGTTGATATATAAATCAAGCCAGTTACCCTATATATTACATCATACAATTGTTATTCATAATGAGAATATTTAAAATCTCTTTTCTTAGTTATTTTCCATAGTAGAATCTGTTTTTTAAAGGTACTTAATTCTTGTGCTTTTTTCTCTTTTTAAAGATTTTATTTATTTATTTGAGAGGTGGAGTTAAAGACAAAGAGGTAAATACAGAGAGAAAGGTCTTGCATCCTCTGTTTCACTCCCCAAATGGCTGCAATGGCCAGAGCTGGGCCTTTCTGAAGCCAGGAGCTTCTTCTGGGTTTCCTTCATGGGTGCAGGGAGCTTCTTCTGAGTTTCCTTCATGGATGCAGGGGCCCAAGCACTGGACAATCTTCTACAGCTTTCCCAGGCCATAAGCAGAGAGCTGGATCAGAAGTGGAGCATCTGTTCTCCGAACTGGTGCCCATATGGGATATTGGTGTCATAGGCAGAGGTTTGGCCTACTATGCCACAGCACTGGCCCTAGTAGAACCCATTTTTTTTTTTTATCTTTTATTTAATGAATATAAATTTCCAAAGTACGACTCATGGGTTACAATGGCTTCCCCCCCCATACCGTCCCTCCCACCCACAACCCTCCCCTTTCCCACTCCCTCTCCCCTTCCATTCACATCAAGATTCATTTTTGATTATCTTAATATACAGAAGATCAGCTTAGTATACCTTAAGTAAGGATTTCAACAGTTTGCTGCCACACAGAAACATAAAGTGAAAAATAATAGATGATTTTTTTTAAATGATGATGAAATCAGATCAGATCAGGCCCTATTGTCATGTTCCCAGTGAGAGTCCAGTTGAGTTGGGGAAATTGATAAATTCTTTTTTTTTTTTTTTACAGAAGATCAGTTTAGTGTACATTAAGTAAAGATTTCAATCGTTTGCACCCCCATAGAAACACAAAGTGAAGGCCGGCGCCACGGCTCACTAGGCTAATCCTCCGCCTAGCGGCGCCAGCACACCGGGTTCTAGTCCCGGTCGGGGTGCCGGATTCTGTCCCAGTTGCCCCTCTTCCAGGCCAGCCCTCTGCTGTGGCCAAGGAGTGCAGTGGAGGATGGCCCAAGTGCTTGGGCCCTGCACCCCATGGGAGACCAGGAAAAAGCACCTGGCTCCTGGCTCCTGCCATCGGATCAGCCGCGGTGCGCCGGCCCGCAGCGGCGGCCATTGGAGGGTGAAGGAGGGTGAACCAACGGCAAAGGAAGACCTTTCTCTCTGTCTCTCTCTCTCACTGTTCACTCTGCCTGTAAAAAAACAAAAAAAAAAAAACAAAAAAAAAAACACAAAGTGAAATATATTGTTTGAGTACTCGTTATAGCATTAAGCCTCAGTGTACAGCACATTAAGGACAGAGATCCTACATGAGGAGTAAGTGCACAGTGACTCCTGTTGTTGACTTTACAAATTGACACTCCTGTTTATGGCATCAGTAATCTCCCTATGCACCAGTCATGAGTTTCCAAGGCTATGGAAGCCCCTTGGGTTCTCCGACTCTTATCTTGTTTAGACAAGGTCATAGTCAAAGTGGAGGTTCTCTCCTCCCTTCAGAGAAAGGCACCTCCCTCTTTGAAGACCTGTTCTTTCCACTGGGATCTCACTCACAGAGATCTTTTTGCCAGAGTGTCTTGGCTTTCCATGCCTGAAATACTCTCATGGGCTTTTCAGCCAGATCCGAGTGCCTTTAGGGCTGATTCTGAGGCCAGAGTGCTATTTAGGACATCCGCCATTCTATGAGTCTGCTGAGTATCTCACTTCCCATGTTGGATCACTCTCCCCTTTATTTATTCTATCAGTTAGTGTTAGCAGATACTAGACTTGTTTATGTGCTCCCTTTGACTCTTAGTCCTTTCATTATGATCAATTGTGAACTGAAATTGATCACTTGGAATAGTGAGATGGCATTGGCACATGCCACCTTGATGGGATTGGATTGGAATCCCCTGGTATGTTTCCAACTCTACCAATTGGGGCAAGTCAGCCCGAGCATGCCCCAAATTATACATCTCTTCCCTCTCTTATTCCCACTCTTATGTTTAACAGGGATCACATTTCAGTTAATTTTCAACACTTAAGAATAACTGTGTGATAATTACAGAATTAAACCAGTCATATTAAGTAGAACAGACAAAAAAAAAATACTATGAGGGATAATGTATTAAGTTGTCCATTAGCAGTCAGGGCTATGCTGATCAAGTCACCATTTCTCATAGTGTCCATTTCACTTCAGGAGGTTTCCTTTTTGGTGTTCAGTCAGTTGTCACCGATCAGGGAGAACATATGGTATTTGTCCCTTTGGGACTGGCTTATTTCACTCAGCATGATGTGTTCCAGATTCCT